AAAAAGTTGCGAATGACATGAACGTACCTTTATCAACAGAACGAGTTGGTTCTGCAATTTATACTGCGCATTAGAGACCAGCAAAATCCGTCCACACTTCAGCTTTTTGTCCATAACAGGGACCGCTAAACATGCATTTGACGTTAAATTCAAGCAAACTATGAAAGACGCTGTGTTTCCTACACACATTCCACCAAGATTATAGTCAAACTTAAGTTTTAGAAGGTTTACATGAAGCCTCACCTGCTAAGCGGAGCCAAAGCTCAGCTCTTCTCTCGATAAAATTGATCAGAACATCGTGGAACTGGCGAATAGGAGTGATACTGGCTTCTGACGGCTCGCACATCTCACATTCTGTTTTGGGTAGCATAGATAAATGTTCTTCAGCCTGAATAAATCAATAAGATATAACATGGATAGAGTAGATAGGTTGGATAGCGATATTCAAAGGGAACACACGTTTCATTGGAATATCATAGAATTTTATATAGGATACCGCAGGATACGCATGAGACGTTGCACTGACAATAAGTTGAATTTTTTTCAATTTACATCAGAAAGTTGCAACTTTACAACAAAGGCGACCGATCTCTGCTCACAACACAGCTGAATATATTGTGCGAGTTTTCAAAAAAAAACCTTTTTTTTTGAAAACTCGCACAATATATTCAGCTGTTCGTCAAATCTCAGGTAATAGTAAAAGATGGCAAGAGTTTCAATCCACTCGTTTTTTCAAGGCACTCACTTTTTCAAGGTTGGTCTTTCTAGAAGGGCCTTCACGCAAAGCAACGCATTCCACAAAAGATCGTTGCAACATATCTTCCACTCGTAAGTGCTCTACTCTTAATAAATTGAGAAGCATAGAATACGTGACCCGAAATTGAGATACAAGAGGTGCTGGTTTGCCCTAAATTCAATGATACAAAAGAACGTAGCCGCAGGAAGAAGCCAAAATTACCATCATTATTATCTGGAGCTGACCAGGTTCGACCAGCTTCGTTTGTTTACATAATACAATAACCGTGCCCGTAGTATCTAGACCTCTTCGACCAGCGCGTCCAGCCATCTCAAAAGCATTCAATGAAAAACGAAAGTCTTAATGTTTCATCTCAAGTGTACCTGAATGTACTCCCCAGCATTTAGGTTTCTTAACTCCAATCCATCATGCTTCTGAATACTATCGAAAACGACGGTACGAGCCGGCATATTCACTCCCATTGCGAAGGTTTCAGTAGCAAAAAGGATCTATTACACTAATATTTTCCATTATCAAACATGGACGGAAACCAACAACGTACCTTCACGTAACCTTTTTGAAAAAGCAGCTCTACGACCTCTTTAAGGATTGGGAGGATACCACTATGATGCACAGCAAATCCTCTCATGCACAAATCTCGCATTAAATGCACCTAATAAAGTAACCAACACTCTCAAGCAAATGTATTATAAAATCTCCTAATTGAAACCTGTGGCAGTTTTTTGTCTGAGCCTTTCAATCTATTGATGCACTGCGAGAAAAATGACTGAATGTGAGACTTTTCAACCTCTGTTGTAAGATCCATTGATTGCAACAGTTGTGCATTATCATCGCATCTATAAAAATCAATTTATCCCAAATACCTGAAAAAGCGGCTTTTAAAAAAGTTCAAGCAAGCTGACACAAAGAATATATATTTATGGCACAC